AATATTGTTAATCTTTTTGCAAGGGAAGTTCTTGTTTAAGAGGAAGACAGTTGAAATCTAAAAAGAAGATCAGAGCAAAAGACAGAAAGCAGACTCAAAAAGGTGGTCAGGAGAGCTAGGTTTGGGGTGCAGCTCTGCCCCTCACCAGCTGCAATGCCGTGGTCAGGGCCATCCTGCTCTGCTGGTTCCCCAGCCCTGGATTCTTAAATCCTCTGACGAGCACATGGCAGGAGCAGGAGCAGGGGCAAGAGGTCTAGCAGAGCTATCCTTGGGATTGGTGTTGGAATTCACACACACTCCTTTAGGGCTGAGGTGCTGGGACTCAGCCATGATTCTGGTGGAAGCTTTGGACCAGAGCCCACTAGACCCTGAGATCTGCATCCTTTGACGTCATGCGGAAGGAGGACTTCTGGAATCGGCATTGAGTCTGTGGCACCTCTCCAATATCATGTCTGAACAGCTTGTATTCCGTCTCCCAAATTCCTCCTTTCCCCTCAGCTAAGTCAGCCTCTGCAAACCCCTTTCTCTTGCTTTCTCTCCTTTGCTGCCAGTCCCTTGTCATCCAGAACTGCCCAAGAACATACTTCTAATCACACCACATTGAGCTGTAGGTTATTAAAGGCTACTTTGATAGCAGCCTATCATTCTGTATAAGAAACTGTATCTGCTCATATCACACATGTATTTCAGAGAAGAATTCTGTTTAACTGTTTAGGCTGTAAGTGACCAGATTAACAATTGTCTTGATGCAGGCCATAATTGGACAGTCAGATGAATATTAGTACCTGACCTCAAATTTGTGTCTTTTCTTTAAATAATTTGTCAGCAATAAAGCCATCTTCTGTTTTGTTTATAGATTGGCTGTTTGCATGTACTCTGAAATGCCTTTTCTCTTGTGTTCTAACCTGAAAGATAGATGCTATTAACCCCTTGCCAATAACTTAACAAACATCAGTGGACACATGTAAGATTAACTCCTCAAAGTTGCATTAAAGATTAAAGGAGATGATACCGTGCCTTGCATAGTGCAGGGTACACAGTCGGTGTTTAACATATAAAGATGACTCTAGCACTGGCAGTGGTATGTGCAGGGAGTTATTTTCATCACATCATATGATGTAGATGTGAAATTCACCATTAAAGTTCACTCCTAAACTAACTAAACATAGATCCTGTCATATTTATTTTTTATTTTAAAATTTTTATCTTTTTTTTTTTTTTTGAGATTGAGACACCCAGGCTGGAGTGCAGTGGCATGATTATGGCTCACAGCAGACTCAACCTTTTGGCCCAAGTGATCTTCCCACCTCAGGCTCCTGAGTAGCTAGGACTACATGTGTGCACCACCACCACACCTGGCTAATTCATCATGTTTTCTACCTAATTTTTTATGTTAATCGTAAGAAAATGGCTGAGCAGTAGCAAGTCAATAATTGAGTCCTGAAACTAACAGTAGCCTAAAGATTCTGTTACTGACTTGCTATCATAGCGTATTAGTTCCAGGTGCTTGCCAATTTTTTCAGATTCTCTACATAGGTAATCATGGAATCATAAGCAAAGGCAATTTTACATCTTCCTTCTCAATCTGTGTATCTTTTATTCCCTTTTCTCGTCATATTGCATTGGCTACAACTTCCAGGATTATGATGTAAAAGAGTGGTGGGAGCAGACATTCTTGTCCCATTAATGATTTTAGTGGGAAAGCTTCAAGTTTCTCACCAATTAGGTATGATGCTAGACGCAGGTTTTAAAATTGGCAGATGTTCTCTACCAAGTTGAGGAGACTCCTCCCTATTCCTAATTTACTGAGAGTCTTTTTTCCCTTTTTAAATCAGGAATGGGTGTAGGATTTTGTCAAACACTTCTTCTGGCTCTATTGATATAATTTTTCCTCTTTAGCTGATATGATGGAATAATCAGTTTTCAAATGTCGAACCAGACTTGCATACCTGTGATAAATCCCACTTGGTCAGAGTGTATAGTTCTTTTTATACATTTTTAATTGTTTGCCAATATTTTGTTGAAGATTTTTAAATCTATATTTATGAGAGATAAAGGTTTGTTATTAGGGTAATAATGGCTTCATTGGGAAGTGAAGGGAGAGACCAAGAAATTAAGGCCCATTAGTTTCCATTCTGCGGCTTTTACCCAGGCAGTTTCAAGAGCATCTGTATAGATTCCACACAAGTTTTTCTTTACTAAAAGGGTATTATTGCTTAAAACGTAAACCTGCATATTGAAAGCTGCTGCTCTGTGTGTAGCTTTCTGATCCGTAGCGTCATTCTCATGGGCCGAAGGGCATTCTGTTTGAGGCTTACTGCTGAGGTTTATGTAACCCTATTATCCATAATGTAAGTTGCTATCAGTTTGAGTGTCATTTCCTTTTAGAAGTGTCCTTCTGTTTTAGACATAATTACATGTCTTCTTGGTTGGTGTCATCTACAAAGGTAATAGTCACGTTCTGTATGTTGTGTTCAGTTTGCTGAGTTTGTTGTTCCCAGGCTCTGCTCACAGGCCAATTCCCTATCCCTAAATATGCCCCTGTCCATGAATGATAGATGTTCACAGAAGATTTTTGTGCCATTTGCTCTTCTCCGGAAGCATTTCTAGTTCAGTTAAAAAAAAAAAACAAGTCAATCACCAAGTGGAAATACAGTGGAATGCTAAGTTTATGCCTGGGAAAAATAAATACCCTCATGCTATTGAGAAATCTGGTTTCAAGGAAAACACCATGCACCCCAAAGATCAGTGAGTAATACATAACTTAGATAGCTTAAAGCAATGACACTATGTAGCCATCCCAAATTTAGACTCTGTGCTTATTTAGAGAGCAAAGAGTTGTCATCGTCATTTCATTCTTGCCACTCAGTTTTGAGGAATAGTGATTTTCTAGCAATTCTAAGATTGCTTGTGGCTGGAGGTCCATCTCAGGCTAGGGTTTGTTATCTGGAACCTGGACTCTTTAGAAGAACACTGAATGAATGATAAGGCAGAGGAGGGGAGAAAGGGTGTGCTAGAAAGGTGTCCCCGGGAGCCATGACAGCACACTATTCTTCAAATGACTCCTGCAGGTGACCACAGGTTTCTGCCTACAATACAGGCACTTTGGTGATAGGCTTGCAAACACCCACTGAGGAGGTACCTCTAAATCCTTCTGATAGCTCATTCCCTTTAAGTTTCTCTGCATCCTACTTCCAACCTCAGCAGAGGGTTAAATTCAACTTACTCTTAACTTGAAGGTGAGCAGTTCATACCGACAATTTTAAGTTAGCCAGCTCCAAACGACTCCAAACTTGAACTTAGAACAAAGTCATCCATCAGAACTCTTCTAATTAAATTGGCATAAATTAAAGCTTAATGTCAAAATCAGAACCCAGTCATCGAAACCCAAACACAGATAGTGCCAAGTATTTTGACCTCCACACCATGCTGACCTGTACAAAGGGATTTTTGTTCAGCTGCAGTTTTTCCTCTTAAAAAAAAAAAGGGTAAAGCTCTATGGGTCAAATCTGCTTACCTTTTAGGGAAAATATGAATATGAAAAAAAGTGCTGCATGGAATCCTAATCTAGTAATTCCTGGGACTGATCTGATGTCACATAGCAAGCAGACAAAGAAAAGGAGTTTCAGCCCAGGAACTCAAATCTAGCATGGGGTTTGTAGATGTGTTAGCCTACTTACTCATGATTCAACTCTAGGGCAACAGAGGTATGCACTGCAACTTTCTTGAAGCCAAGTCAGCCCAACATCTATCACATCAGTAGAGCTGAGTGGTGCCCCATCCAGCAGAAGCAGCATCACGTGGAAGCGGTTCAAAATCAAGGTCACAGACCTCACTCCAGACCTACAGAATCAGAATCAAGGGCTGGGGACTAGCAATCTGTGTTTTTGTTTAGTTCTTGAGACAGGGTCTTGCTCTGTTGCCCTGGAGTACAATGGTACCATCATACCTCACTGCAGCCTTGAACTCCTGGGCTCAAATGATCCTCCAGCCTCACCCTCCCTAGTACCTGGGACTACAGGCATGCACCACCACGCTAGGTTACGGTTTGTTGTTTTGTTTTGTTTTTGTTTTTGTTTTTTTTGTAGAGATGAGGTCTTGCTATGTTGTCCTGGCTGCTTTCAAACTCCTCATGGTCTCAAATGATCCTCCTGCCTTGGCTTCCCAAAGCATTGGGATTACAGGCAGGAACTGCCATGCTAGGCCAATCTGTGTTTTTCATAGATAAGTATTCTGGTTAATCCTTGTTTGCGCCAAAGTTTTAGAACTATTGCACTATCCAGTGATGATGCATGGCCCTTGCTTAAATTAAGCTCTAAAGATAACTAGAGAAGAAATCCATGTCATTCTGAAATTGAAGAAAGATGGATGAACAAGATTGTGCTTGAGTAGGGCATAGCAAAAAAAGAAATAAAAAATACCTACTGGCAAGTAAGAGATAGGAGAAATGTTTTTGAGCACCATGAATCATTTTGGCAGTAAAATAGGCTTTTTCCCTTGTCAAGATACTTCATTTAAAAAAATAAGAAAAATATAAGGCATTCATTTTCTATGAAAAATGACTAAAGCCAGGGTTATTTTCTGTTTCCATACTTTCACTAGGTTATTAGTAAATTGCAGGTACATTTCATGAACTTTTCAACTGAAATCTTGTTCAGGATTCTGTTTCCTCAGAAAGAAGGTAAAATATATCTCACGTGTCAGTGAGATCATTCCCATAAATATCCTCTGTTAAATTGGTGAGAGTTTAGGCATTGATCTACTGCCTGACTCCAGTTTTGTTATTTTAAAAAATTCTGAACTTCATCTCCTGTTTCCAGCTCCCCTTGCCTGGAAGAGATTTCATTTGATGACTTACATGGAAGAACGGCTGACATGTCATTCTTTAGGTCTCCCAAGATGGCTTGTTCACCAGTGCTTGAGTCAGTGGATGAACTATATATTGGTTTTTTAAGAGATGACTCAGAATCTGACATCCAGTAACAGAAGGTAATAAAAACCACATTAAAACTAGTCTTTATTACATTTGCTTGCCACTTAACTTGCTTATAGTTTATAAATACACAGGGAAAAAAATTAACATCAAAGAAGTTGCAGCTGATTTTATCCCAACAGGCGTCTGTCTACTTGAAATGCTATAAACATTCTTTCTTAGGGAAACGATCCATTTTTTTAAAGATTATTACAATTCATGCAGAATTTACTAACTACTTCCTAAAAAGCAAGAGTTTCATCATGGTGTTGGAAACCAAAAACAAGATTTCAATCAAGGACAGTCTGACATTTCTGTTTCCAAAAATAAAACTGCATTATAAAATTAATAAGTTAATGAATTAAAAGATACACACTTTGCCTAAGATAAAAAACACTTAATTTACAAATCATTGTAGAGTGTAATGAAAGAAACAAAGTGAGACTATATAAATGTGTTTTTGAAAGACAGTGAAGATCTTAACTTAAATTTTAATATTTTGCTCATATATAGCCAAGAGTAGGAGAGAAAGCCAACCTAGGATCAATCCAAAGTTCTGCAGAAGAAACATCATCCAGGGTCGTTGTGTTTGAACATGAGTCATTTCAGGAAGCTAAAAAAAGAACAAAAACCAGAATAAGATCCAGATATATTCAACTGCTGGGAAAAGCTTGGTGGGAAAACATGAGAGACTGTTATTCAGAACTTAATAACCTTTAAAATTCCCAAAACAGTTACAAAATGCTGAATACCTACTCTACCATGATTTTGAAATGTAAGCCATTTGTGGTTATGAGGATCCCAGTATTGGCAAAAGCCTTTTTTTTTTTTTTTTTTAAGGTAGGGTCTTGCTCTGTCACCCAGGCTAGAGTACAATGGCTGTAATCACATTTCACTGCAGCCTCAGCCTTTTGGGCTCAAGCGATCCTCTAACCTCAGCCTTCCAGGTGCGCAGCATTGCACCCAGCCAATTTTGCATTTTTTGTAGAGATGGGGTTTCCCTATGTTGCCCAGGCTGGTCTCGAACTCCTGCTCAATCTCGAACTTGAACTCAATCTGACTGCTGCAGCCTCCCAAAGTATTGGGAATTGGAGGCATAAGCCACTGCACCTGGCCTTTGGCAGAAGTCTTAAAATGACATGGTTATTAACCAAAAACAAACGCTTACTTTTCAGAAAATGTTTAAATGTGAAATAGATAATCCATGAAAGGTATTATTTTGGACTGTTCTATTAGCTTTATAAAACTACTAAACGCACAGGTTGTTGTATGGCATATATATGTACATATGTGGGGGAGGACGGAAAAAGAGAGAGAGAAGAATGACTAAGGTCTTCCTGATCTTCAGAATAGTACACAGTATCTCGTGTGTGTGTGTGTGTGTGTATTCTGGGGTTTTTCTTTGAGACAGTGTCTCACTCTGTTGCCCAGGCTGGAGTGTAGTGGTGGGATCTCGGCTTACTGAAACCTCTGCCTCCCAGGTTCAAGCAATTCTCCTGCCTCAGTCTCCTGAGTAGCTAGGACCACAGGTGTGCACCACCACACCTGGCTAATTTTTGTATGTTTTGGTAAAGACAGAGTTTCACTCTGTTGACCAGGCTGTCCTGTGGTTGTATTTTATTCTCAGAGAAACATGTGGCAACTATTTCATGTTTGGGAAATACCCTAACACCATTTAGTGGGAAATGTTCACTCAAGCATCTATATGAAGTGCCCTGAGGTGTATTTGTCTCAAATTATTTCAAATCCCTCACCCTGAGAAGTTCAGAGCAAACATGCCCCCTTCCCAACACAGTCATTTCTACTGGGGCACAGGCTGGAGTCAACGTGGATTGGAGATTAAACTCAATTTTGTCATTGTTGATATTTTGGGTCAGATAATTCTTTCTTGTGAGACTCCGGTCCTGTCCATTAGAGGAGATGTGGCAATATCTCTGCCCTTAGTCATGACAACCAAAAAGATCTGTAGACATTGTCAAACTTCCCCTGGGGGATAAAAATCACCTCCAGTAGAGAATGACTCAGATTATTCATGGGTCAAATGAAAGATCAAGGACTTTAGGTTTATGGCAATAGAAAATGGGTTGACACTTTTTTTTCAGATGGAGTTTCATTCTTGTTGTCCAGGCTGATGTACAGTGGCACCATCTCTGCTCACTTGGGAACCCTACACCTCTCAGGTTCTCGGTGATTCTCCTGCCCTAGCCTCCCAAGGAGCTGGGACTGCAGGCATCCACCACCATGCTTGGCTAATTTTGTATTTTCAGTAGAGACAAGATTTTGTCATGTTGATCAGGCTGGTCTTGAACTCCTGACCTCAAATAATCCACCTGCCTTGGCCTCTCAAAGCGCTGGGTTTACAGGCATCAGCCACCATGCCCAGCCAGGTTGACACATTTTTAAGTACATGGAGAAGAGCATCCTGAATGTTCTATTTGGGTGAGCTTGAGATATTTTTTTCTTAATTTGATAGCATGAGGGTGGATTATTATGAGCTGCCATCTCACACCCTGGCATGGACCAGTGGCATGATCTCAGCTTACTGTGACCTCCCTGCCTCCTGGGTTCAAGCAATTCTCCTGCCTCAGCTTCCTGAGTATCTGGGATGACAGGCACACACCATCGCACCTAGCTAATTTTTGTGTTTTTAGTAGAGATGGCATTTCACCATGTTGGCCAGGCTGGTCTTGAACTCCTGACCTCAGGCAATCCGCCCACCTCGGCCTCCCAAAGCGCTGGATTTACAAAATTGTCCCAAATTTTTAAAATGATTGTTCAATCTATTATGTTTCTCAGAAGCCTATGCTTATGGACTTGCTACTTGCTTGAGGGATTTAATACCTATAGAATTGAATGCATTTCTTATGAGAGTCAGCGGCCCTGCTCCCAGTGAGAAAAGCAAGAATCCTTGATTTTTGTATATAGATGACAGCATTACCCATCAAAAAAAAACACCATTAATATTTTCACAACTCCAGAGGCAACATTTACATGGAATACAGTGTCTTCAGGAGTTGCAACAGGCTTCTGTATTTTTTTTAAATCAACATAATGGACAACTTGCCATACGGTTAGCCGTGCCTTCTAACAGCACTTTTTCCTGCCGAGTCTTTCAGGTTGTTCTGCCTACAACGTCTTACGTAATGCTTATTTTATTTGCCTTTCATTTACATCTATTTATCACACTTTCCTATATATTTCCCCCCTTTTTCTTCTCATAATCCTGCAAGCGATAAAACTATTAACTCCTTTTAGTTTTGAAGAAACATTAGCTCAGAGAGGATAGCAGCTCACCCACAGTCACACTGTTGTGACATCAGGAGGAGGACAAGAAACCAGGTCACCTCGAAACTGTAGTGGACATACGAAAAACTGCAAAGACCAACTCTCTATCTGAAATTCATCCTTTCTATCTGAAATTCTTCTTATCTATGATGACCAAGGGTGAACTGGTCTAATTAGAAAAAAAATGGAAAATGTCAATGGCAGAAACAGCCTATGAGGCATAAAAGTGTCACTGCATGTGACGAAAATTTGATAAAATACATGATGCAATCAATAAGGAATTAGGTATCAATAATCAACATTTAATAAATCAATAAACAGTAACAGCAAATACACCAACAGAAAATTAGGCAAAATATACCAAACAGGTAATTCAAGAGAAAAAAATTAAATGGTCTAAAACATTTTGGAAAAAGGTATGATCTATAATAATTTTTAAGCCAGGTACAGTGGCTCACACCTGTAATCCCAGCACTTTGGGAGGTCAGGAGTTCAAGACCAGCCTGGCCAATATATGGTGAAACCCAGTCTCTATCAAAAATACAAAAGTCAGCCAGGTGCAGTGGTGGCAGTGGTGGGTGCCTGTAATCCCAGCTACTTGTGAGGTTGAGACAAGAGAATTACTTGAACCTGGGAGGCGGAGGTTGCTATGAGCCGACACGTGCCACTGCACTCCAAGTTGGGTGACAAGAGCGAGACTCCATCTCCAAAATATATATATTTGTCATAATTTTTAAAATGCTAACTACAAGATGCCATTGATACAGCTATTATGCTGCCTTTTTTGTAAAAGATAACACAGTACTGGTACTATGTTTTCAAGGCAGAAAATATGCATTTGAAAAGACTAACTTTGTAAGCTCACAGAGGTGGACAAACTGCAAATCAACATTTCAAAAAAAGTTGAAGGAGATTCTATCCTGAAAGTCTCTATTTCCATTCTGGTGGCCCATGGGAACTTTCCATGTTCAGGCATAAATCGCTTTGGTAAGAAACCCAGCTAAACTTGCTCTTCTGATAGTACTTGGCTCCTTTCAGTATGATTATGGGTGAACATATGAACCACAATATCTCTTGGATACCAAATACCAGAGAGTCCTGCATAAAGTGTTTCCAAGAACTCAAACCCTATCTAATTACAACTTTTCACCTTCTCTTAATCTCCAAATATATATATATATATATATATATATTTGGTGCAATCTTGGCTCACTGCAACCTCCACCTCCCAGGTTCCAGTGATTCTCCTGCCTCAGTCTCCCAAGCAGCTGAGACTACCGGTGCGTGCCACCATGCCCAGCTGATTTTTGTATTTTTTGTAGAGACGAGGTTTCACCATGTTGGCCAGGATGGTCTCAATCTCTTGATCTCATGATCCATCTGCTTCAACCTCACAAAGTGTATTTTTATCCATCATTTTAGCCAGTAAATTTTGAAGGAAAATAAAGGTTTATATGAATTAATTTTTGAGAGAGAGAGAGAGAGAGTGTGTGTGTGTGTGTGTGTGTGTGTGTGTGTATATATATATACATATGGTTAGAAATTTAAAATTACTGACAAGAGTTTAAATGTCATCATTTCCCTCTGAATTTCAAAAAAGAAAGAAAAAACGCTTCTTCCTCCAGGGCAGTTCAGTTCTGTTATTGAGCAATTTTACGGTTCTTGATTTATACTCTAAGAGTAGAGGAGTTGAAATGATGAATAGAGTATATATATTAACAATGATGTAAAGGAACAGAGAAAAAGAAGACATTTTAGCAAAAGTGTCTTGCCCAGAGGTAGTGCTATAAGAAATGTTCTTTAGATTTCTGCCAGAAGCTTGGAAACCTTGAAGTAGAAAAGTAACTTCCTTTTTTACCACCATGTTTCACAAGTTGTCCAACCCAAATCAGTAGATGCAAACAGTTGTTAGTCAAGCAGTTGTAATTTTCTAGAAATAAAAAATCTTTAGCTAAAATGCATCCCTTTGGTCTGCCATTGTTGAGTTCTTTTTTCAATTGTGAATCAAGGCACAGGTAAGAATTTCCTTAAACTGCACCAGAGTCCACAGACTACAACAGAAAATGGTCCTCACAAATTCTGTTACCTAATTGAAACCTATTTATGATGACTAACTCTAAGTAGCATTTCTGAACATTTTAGAAAGTGATATTAAGAAAATGTTTCGGCTGGGCATGGTGGCTCACGCTTGCGATACCAGCTCTTTGGGAGGCCAAGGCAGGTGGATCACCTGAGGTCAGGAGTTCAAAACCAGCCTGACGAGTATGATGATACCCTGTCTCTACTAAAAATACAAAAATTAACCAGGTGTGATGGCAGACACCTATA